TAATTTCCTTTTTTTAAAATAAAAATAACATTAGTTATTAATTATAATATTATTATTTCTAATCCGTCGAAATCTTTCGTATGTAATCGTCAATTCAACTGTTCGGTCGAACCTAGACCCAAATATCAGGGTGTAACACTTCGTGCCCTCAAGCATGATAGATCTGCAACGTCGAGCGAGTGACGTTAAACTAGCGCTTGTTGGGAGGCAACCCAAAGACGGTATGTTTCACTTTTTGTGTGTGTGAAGAGTTCAAGTGTTATATTTGGGCATCACCGTGCCAAGTCTCTATGGTTGTGTGTTTTGGGATGTGGTGTGATCAAATTAGGGGCACGATTGAGTACATCGAGTCAAATGTTTTTGGAAATGCCTTGTTTTCATTGAGTTCACAGTTTTTGCTTAGTTTTTGCTTACAGTTCACAGTCTTAGTGACCGTGAACTGGTCCCTCCGTCTGTGAACTGAGGGCGCTTCCATCTATTTTCAAAACTCGTCGTTTAACCCCAGTTCACGGGCTGCGAGTTATGTTCACGGTTTTAGTGACCGCAAACTGGCTCCTACGTCCGTGAACTAAGAGATCTGCCTATAAAAGGGGCGTGAACGACTCATCTTCACTTCACGATCTCCCTTCACCAGAATCCTTTCAATCCGGCCAGAAATTCGAGATTTTCCGTTACTTTTTGTCGATTTCAACGACCTCTGGCCACCCAAACCCAAAACCAATCACAGACCAGTCTCCCCTCACTAAGGAGCACCTTCGCCAATGTTTTAGCGAGGTTTGGCTAAGATTTTTCCGGTGAGGCGATTTCCGGCGAGCCTCTGACGGGCTTCCAACGAAGCTCTGGTGACCCCCCTACAGCTATTTTTGTCGAGCATTTTTTTGGCTCCCTCACCCTCTTCTCACTACCCCCTCAATCCTACTTGAGTCTCCATGTTTGTTTTCAACCTTTTCATTATCATTTTTTTGACAATTGGATTAGGGTGTGAAGTGGGGTGATTTTGTGAATTGATGATTGAATGTAAAAATTAGGGCGAGGGATTAGTCGATTAATGATGAATGAATGTTGCATGAGGATACATGAGCTTAATTGAGCCTTAATGGGGACGATTTAAGTACAATTTGTGGTTAGGTGTGAATCCTCAATTTTTTATTGATGGTTGGCAGCCATCTAGGATGGTTTGGGTTTGATTATGTGTCTTGATAAGCTTTGTGTGCACTTGATCTTAATCGTCCAAAAGCCAGTCTTTTGAAAAGCCTTCAAAGGCATAGGACCATAGTGGAAGCCTAAGTGCGGGGGAATTCTTTTCCCCCCTTGATGTGAGATTGACAATTATTTCCACGTATGGTGTTTGTTTTAAATACTTTGTAGGATGGTCAATACGGAGCACGAGTACATCCACTACTTGGTGAACCACGAGTGGTTGGGGGCCAAGTTTGTTCAGTAGAGATATCGCGAGGCTGGGCCTCATTGGAAGCTCAATCTGGACATGTTCAGATGCCGGGCAGCGATGTCAGGGGGCCTCATTTGATGTGGCCCGGTGTTCATTCATCGGCTAGATCGAGCCATTTCCGGTGGAGACACTCTACAATATGAAGTTGGTGCTTCACGGAGAGAGAGGAATTGAATTCCTTGAAGGACTTCGATCGTCGGCAGCTCTACGACCACAGGTCGACCCTACGCCATCGGCAGCAACCACCCACCAGAGCTCCAGGACGTCGCCGACGCATTGCACCACCATCATCAATAGCATCATCATCATCCGGAGCGGGATCTTCCTCCTCCATACCCCACCTCGAGGAGCGAGTGGATCGCCTCGAGGCACAGTATGTGGGATTCACTGCTCAGCTCGACAGATCTGCCGACCTCCTAGAGAGAATTGCTCGACACTAAGGAATCCTTTCTGATGACGAGGAGTGATCTTGGACACACGATGAGGTAGCCGTCGAGTGAGACATGTGGCAGAGCCGAATTCTTTCGCCCCACGTCTCCATTTGCAAACTCTGAACTCTTTTTTATTTTATTTTTATTTTCTCCTTATTTAGTGTGTGAACTAGTACTTTGTGAGTTTTCTTTTAAATCATAATGTGAAACTTTTTTATGTGTAATAACCTCACCTCGAGTGAGAATGTGCGTGTGTTTTTGTTTTGTTTTGTTTTGTTTTGTTTTGTATTCCCTTCGAAGCTCAAACATCCTACCCTGGGAAATTCTCCAACTTACATTCACCAAGCCATGCGGTAACATCCTTCTACCCCCTATTTTACTCCATTGAGGGAAATAGCGAGCTTAAGTGTGGGGGTTAGTTTATTATTATGCTTGTGTGAGTGATTGAATGCTTGGAGCCTTGATGTATGCCCAAATTTGAAAAAATTTAGGACTCCAAGCAATGCATGATCAAAATGGCATGTTGGTGGTTGAATCTCATGCTTATATAGCATCGATCTGGAATTTTTGCTAGTAATCGAGTGCATCCTATTATGATGACTAAGAATGCATTAGGGTGGTGCAAAAGCTTAGTTCTCATGTGCGCATAAATGAATTGATGTCTTGACTTGGTTACTTCTTGATTACAACTACCATGCATTGAAGTTTTTAAATTGGAATAGATGATTGGGCGGACAGGTAGCCATGTGAGATTTGTGTCGATCATCTTTTTCATGTGTGATAGATCTCTCTCGCCAAGGTGTGTAACATTTACCGTTGTCACTAGTGAGTATGATGGAGGCATAATATTAGTTCACGCCCAAAAGTTCATTGTCCCGAAACATTTTAGCCCCTAGTCAACCCCTTTGAGCCATGTGACTTTGGGGGTCGTTCTAATGTGGAGCATCGTGCTTGTTGAGCTTAATGGTGATTGAAAGAACAAACCCCCATCCTTTCATCATGTCAATGTGTGAGTCATCCTTGTCTCGGAGTTCTCATTTTTAGATCCATAGAGGTTCTACAGAGGTGGATTTGCACGGTTCTCGCTAGAAATGAGAACGTAGTATTGGAGGAAAGTTCTTAATGGAGAGCATTTTTCATTTAAGGATAAGTGGCATGCATTGTATTCTCTAATGCCCCCCTCTAAAAAAATGAGAAAACGAAAGAAAGAGCAACGGAAAGCAAAGAAATGAAAAAGAGGTAATAAAACGAGGTAAATAAAAGTAGAGAGTGGTCACAAAAGTCTAAGTGTATGCTCAAAGAAGGGTTTCTTGGCACTCAAGCCATTGTAACACCTAAATTGTTTAATGACCTCCTTCACTACTAGGTTTGAAATGAGGATAGCAAGATAGGCCTAAGAAGTGTGCTTGAATGTAGTTCATGATTGGTAGTGGTTTGGAAGAAGGGAAGTGTGGTTTTTGGCAGATGCTAGTGGTCGTCAATTGTAGGAAAGGTTCTTAGTCGAAACAATAGAAATTTGGTTTTAGGTTGAAGATGTAGGACCTCATGCAATGTTCACCACCACCCAAAAAGCCTTTTACCCATGTCCAAGACAATAGCCAGTCATTTGTACCCGTGTCTAAGACCTCCGGACAAGCTAGTGATGACAACTATCCCGCCATGGTGGAAAGATGACAGGGCTGAGTGTTGATGATTGTGCACATCTTTTGCACCAAAAACTTTCTGACCCCACTGGTCGATAGTGAGTGATTCATTCTTGTTTTGCATGTTCATATCTTACCCCGGTGAGGACCTATGTTGCCCCGTCATTTGTTCCTTGGACTTATGTTCTATACATGGTTAGTTGTGGTTGGTGAGTAGTCCAGTCGAGACTTGCATTGATTTGTGAACAAGATGAGAACTTTTCATTTTCCCTTTCTTGATGCATTCGAATATCATTTGTGGTGGATGTTGGTATTCCTTGCAACAATTCATGTGTTGATGCCCAATAGTCATTGAGATTCACCACTTTTTGTATTTTGATTTGTCCCCAAGTTATTTTGTTTGGTTGAGATATCACCTTGGTTGAAAATGGTCTGCTTGGGGACAAGCAAACGTCTAAGTGTGGGGGAGTGATTCGGGCTCAATTGTACACTTTTTACCCCCCCCCCCCCCCCCCGGCTTCCTTAGTCGTTTGAGGATTTTTTTTACTCCAATAGGTTTGGTTTTACGCTGGGTTTTGCCTCATTTTGGTGTTTTTCAGACTATGGTAGGTGGAACCAACCCCGGAGTTGAATGTTAGAATAAAGGGCAAAGAATCAAGTCAAAGGGTGGAAGCAGCCGCAAATCACAGTGGGAGTTGTGAGTTCACGGTTGATTCGGGCTCATTTGTACACTTTTTACCCCCGGTTTTCTTAGTCGTCTGAAGCGTTTTTACTCCAGGAGGTTTGGTTTTATGTCGGGTTTTGTCTTGTTTAGGTGTTTTCGGACTTTGGCATGTGGAACCAACCCCAGAGTCGAAAGTTGGACGAAAGGGTGAAAAATCAAGTCAAAGGGTGGAAGCAGCAGCATATCACGGTTTGGGTTGTGTGTAAACGGTTACTAAGACCGCGAACCGGTGGCTCTACCCATGAACAGCCAGGCATCTAGAGCATAAATCGCTTTCACCGGACACAAGTCACTTTACATTCGTAAGACAATGAACTCAAGCCATTGCCCGTGAATAGGACATATTGAAAGTACCTAACCATACCTACTTCTTCTTCCAAGGAAACATGATCTCTTCATTGTGAGGGGCACCGATATGCTCGACGACAGGCTGGTTTTTGGGTCGCGTGCATCGGGGGTGATGCCCCCCCGGGGGGGGGGGGGGGGGGGGAGCCTCTGAATGAGAGAAAGAAGAGAAGAACAGAGAGATCTAGGGATCTGGGTTTGGTGGGATATATGAGAAAATGGATGAGATGAGTAATGGAATGGATGAATTGATGGGATAGGTAATTGGGAATTATGGTGGTGGTTGGTGGGTATGGGAAATTGGGGATTGAAATTTCTGGATTGGGGGAGAGAAGAAGACGAAGGAAATGGTGGGGAAGAAAGGAAGTTTGCCATAGTTGAATAATAAAAAAATGGAAAGCTGACATATTTCATTTGTAATCTTATTCACTGCCACGTCATATTTTTTCCCAACTCAGCATTGCATTTGCCAACTCATCCTTAACTAACAGAAGTTTAACAGAAACTTAATTTTTTATAGAAAAATCTCGTATTATTTCATTAGGGGGAAATATTATAGGAATCAAGAATTAACTGGTCCACAAGGAAAATAGGTGGCTTGGAAGCCTAAGAGTGAGTTGGTGTATGCCATGATGTTCTTTGCCCGATTGGATTCCCGGCCCGAAACCAAATGGTCACTGATCCACCCAAATCCTCCAACCTGTCCTTCACCTCCTCGCATTCGTCTCCTTCCTCTGTTAACGACCTTTCTTCCTTTGCTATCTGCTGGACGGCCCTCAGGCAGTCTGATTCGATCTCTCCCGAGACAAATCCTTCCTCTAAGGCCACCTCCAAACCGAATTTTATAGCTTGAATCTCTGCCAATTCCGGAGTCCATTGAATCCTCAACCTTCTCACACGCGCAAAACAGAAAGAGCCATTTCGATCCCGAACCACTACCCCCAAACCCATCCCGGAATATGAAAATATTGATGCATCCACATTGATCTTGTAATCAACATCTTCCAGCGGTTTCCAACAAGGTTTCTATCTGGTTTCATGCTCAGGTGATGCATGTTGATAATCAAGGTACTTCGTAACTAGCCAGGGCTCTGCTTTCCCCTAAATTTCGTATTCTTGCAGTTTCTTCTTGTTCCACATCTGACTGTTGCGTTCTTCCCACATAAACTAGAGGGCAACGAGGAAAATTTCAATATGCTCCGCGGATTCCGTCTCCCGAAGGCCAACCATCCATTCTTCACAGGTTAGATCCTTTCCTTTCTCGAAACTTAAGTTTGGAGAACTAGAAAACGAGACCCTTCTAGCCCATCCTCAATCGTAGAAAAGATGGTTTTGAGTCTCTGCTTGGCAAAAAATGGTCATTCATCACACCCTTTGGTTGTTCTTGCCAACACATTTGCCCCAATCGGCAAAATATTTCTTATCCATCTCCACGCAAAAACCTTAACTTTAGGTGGGATTTGAAGTTTCCAAATATGCTCCTAGTTAATTGGCGTGTAAAGTTCCACAGTCTCTGCCTCGAGTGTGTCCCTAAGGATTCTATAGGCTAATTTAACTGAGTATATTCCAAATTGTTCATAGCTCCAAATTCGCTTGTCCTCTGCTGGTTGTCTATGTATGGCGATTTTTAAAATCCTATGCCTGTCCTGTGTAAGGAAGTGAGCTTGAAGTAGTGCCTGATTCCAGGTTCTAGAATCCACATCTAGCAAATCGTTAACTGAAGTAGTCAATGCAAAAGGGGACATAGGGGATATGACCTTAAAATTGTGAACAGTGGGAATCCACTTGTCTTGCCAAATATCCACCTTATTCCCATTCCCAATTCGCTATCTCAATCCTTCCTTAACCAACCCTTTTGCAGCTAAGACGCGCCGCCAAATATAGCTAGGGTTATAACCCTCCTCCGCCTCCAGTATGTCTCTTGAGGGATGATACTTTTCCTTCATAATTCTATATACTAGGGAATTGGGATTCAGAATGATATTCCAGATTTGCTTCCCTAAGAGAGCCAGGTTAAATTCGTGCAAATTCCGAAAACCAAGACCTCCTTTCTTCTTAGTTCGACATAGGTCCTGCCAGCTAACCCAGTGAGTTCTGCATTCTGACTCTTGTTGCCCCTACCAAAAATTACACACAATACTCTGAAATTATCAACACAGAAAAACAAACCTAAACCATACCCCGATGGCTTCCAACCATCAACTACAAACACTGATCCACATTCACTCGTATTTTTGCACTTGGTGGCAATTTTCACATTCATCTATAAATTGAACCCAAATTTATGCCCACCAAGGCTCAATTAAGTTCATGCAACATCAAACATCATTCAAACACATTAATCGGCTAATCCCTCGACCTAATTTCTATATTCAAGCATCAATTCACAAATATTCTCCTCACTTCACACCCTAATCCGATTCTCCAACAATTGACAAGGAAAAAGGTTGAAAAACAAACTGGAGACTCAAGTAGGGTCAAGGTGGAAGTGACGAGAGGGCGAGGGAAGCCAAAAAAATGCATTTAAAACTAGCTAGAGAGGGGTCGCTAGAGCTTTGCCAGAAACTCGTCGGAGACTCGTAAAAAAAAAATCAACTGCGCCCAAATCACCCCATAAACTCAAACGAAGGTGCGCCTAGATGAGGGGAGAGTGGGTCTGCAATTTTTTTTGGGTTTAGTGGTCAAGGTTAACGAGATCTTCAAAAATCGGTGGAAAATTGCGGTTTTTCGGTGAGTTTTTGAAAATTTCGGCAAAAAGGGGCGGTCGTGAAGTAAACTGAGTCGTTCACGCCCCTTTCATAGGCAGAACCATCAGTTCACGGTCACTAAGACCATGAACATAACTCCCAGGCCGTGAACTGGGGTTAAACGATGAGTTTTGAAAATATGGGCAGCACCCTCAATTCACGGACGGATGCACCACTTCACGGTCATTATGACCGTGAACTCGAAGCCCAAACCGTGAACTGGTTGAAAATAGGGCACTTCCAACAATCTTTGACTCAATCTACTCAACCGTGCCCCTAATTTGATAAAAATATATCCGAAAACACGAAAAAACATATACTTGGCACGGTGATACCCCAAATTCAACACTTGAACTCTTCACACACACAAAAGGAAAAAAATAAGGAAAAGAAAACAAACCGTCATTGGGTTGCCTCCCAACAAGCGCTAGTTTAACGTCACTATCTATTATGCTTCAGGGCATGAAGCCACCGAGAGTGGATCGGCCACAGTCTCGGGGAGAGGCTTGACACCTCCTTCCTTTAGGTCCTTAGGGTGGCCCACTTGGCCCGGCGCTTTCTCCTTACCCTTATCTTTTGGTTGGGAGGAGGCTTGATAAAGCCTATCCCTCCGCACACTCTTCTTCTTTCCTCCTGGCTTAGTACCCGCTTTGGTTTCCTGCACCTCATCATCAAATGGAACACACACACTAGTGGGGCTTGCCTTGAGAGGCTCACCTCCACCTTCATTCATACCACTCGAATCCAATTATTTCACAAAATCATTCTTAACCTTAGGATAAATTGAAAGAGTGAGTTACTCCTCCCCATCTCTCAACACCAAAGTTCCCTCATCAACATCAATTAAGGCCTTGGTGGTGGCAAGGAAGGGGCGTCCTAGTACGAGTGGCATATCTGCATCTTCACTGATATCAAGGATAAAAAAAATCTGTCGAATAATAAAAATTGACAACTCTCAGTAGGACGTCCTCCACAATACCCCTAAGACTAATGACACAACGATCGGCCAATGTGACACTAAGTCCGCTGCAAGGAGTTTTCTATATGACAATTTCAGATGCAAAGGGGGATAGTGAAACTACCTAGATCTGGTTATTTTTTAGGAAACTTGGTGAGGATAAAGGCGGAGTACTCCTCGCCCAAGGTGACATTGGTGAGGTCTTCATATTTCAGCTTCTTAGCGAGAAGCCCCTTGAGGTATTTGGCGTACCTCGGCATGTGCACCATGGCCTCCAATAATGGAATGGTGATGCAGAGTTTCCTGAGCATCTCCATTAATCCTTCATACTCGGCCTCCAATCGGTCCTTGTGCATCCTTGTGGGGAAAGGAAGAGGAGTCTTGTACTCAGCCACTTGTGGTGGCATCGGCAATGCCTTCTCATGCTCTTTTCCCGCTACTCCCACTTCTTCGGGATCATTAGTCGATGAAGGGGTCTTCTCTTCTTCATTAACCTCCTTAGAAACAACCTCAAGGGTAACCTTCCCACTCTTCAATAGAATTGCATTTTACCCGACATTTTGGTCTTTGGGGTTAACAATGGCTTCAGAGGATAGGGCTCCCCTTGGCCTGTCGGTTAGGATCCCGACAAAATTGCCTATTTGAACCTCCAAGTTTCAAGGCTTGCTTGATGGCTCCTTAATCCCGCCTCAACCAAGGTAAACTATGTTGTTTCCACATCCATAAATTGCTCAATCTTCTCAAACTTTTGAGTTCTCGTGTTCACAAAGGTGGTCAAAAGGTCTTCATGTTTTGCAAACGTGTCGATTTGTTGGAACCCTTGACCTCCTTGAGCTTGAAATGGTTGTTGGAAGTTAGAGCCTTGGAATTGCAGCCTTTGTTGAATGAAGGTAGGATTTGGTTGATAATTTCCAGCTGGTCCTTGGAAACCGGGTTGTCTTGGATTGGTCGCAAAAGACCAAGAGAAATTCAGATGGTTTTGCCACCCCGGGTTTAAGTGTTACTATAGGGGTTGTTCCCCCTAGCATTGGGAATGAAACTCACTTGCTCCTCGGGTGTGCTTGATTCCTTCATCATTTGAAAATCCGAAATCTCGTGGTTGGTACTTGAACACCAATCACACGCCATTACCAGCCACTTCCCATGCTTCTTGTCCTCTAAGAGCGCCTCATTCAAACGACCAATCTTTTCTTCAAGCAGGGGACTCGCTCCTACGCTTTGCACTCCCCTTGCGGTGCCTCTCTTTCCATTTCTTGTCAATCCCCAATCATACCTTTTACTTGCCATGTCTTCAAGCAACTCGGTCACTTGGGGTGGAGTCTTGTTCATCAATTTCCCTTGACTTAAGGATTCAATGAGGATCTTGTCGTCTTGGTGGAGACCACCACAGAAGGTATCAATTCGGAATTTCTCCTCGAATCCATGATGTGGAGCCATTGGAGGAAGTAATTGGAGTAAAACACCAAAATAAGGCACAACCCGGTGTAAAATCAAACCTCCCCGAGTAACAATTCTTCAAACAACTAAGCAAACCGAGGGCAAAAAAGTGTACAAAAGAGCCCGAATCAGTAGGGAAGAATGTCTCTGTTTTGTGGCCATTCACTAAGATAGAATAAGTCACCGCCGTGACACTAGTCATGATCATTGCCACCCACCTGTCACTGATGCCCATCTTATTCATAATAGCCTCGAGAAAGCCTCACTCCACTCGATCATATGCGTTAGAAATGTCCAGTTTAGCTGACATGAACCCTTTCCTTCCCTGTATTCTTCCCTTCATCAAATGGAAACACTCAAATGCCACCATCACATTATCAGTAATTAGCCTCCCTAGGAAAAACGCGGTTTGAAACTTAGTAATCACCTCATTCATAATATGTTTTAGTCTGTTTGCCAATACTTTTGATAGAATCTTATAGAGTACTCGGCAAAGACTTATAGGCCTGAAGTCTACTGGTGTCTTAGCCTTTTTCTTCTTAGGAATTAAGACTAGAAGCGTGTGGTTCAGAGTCTGGAAAAAGATACATGAGTTGAGGTAGTGTTGAAGTTCATTCATCACATCATGTCCCACAATGTCCCAATTCTTTCGAAAAAAAGAAAGTTGACATGCCATCCACCCTAGGAGCTTTGTGAGGTCCCATTTTTCTCGGAGCTTTCCATATCTCCTCCTTAGTAAAAGGTTTTAGCAGTTCCACATTCATCTCTTCTGTAACTCTGTTATGAACAACTTATAGAATTGTGTTTACATGGATACTAGTACCTGCAGAAGAAAAAAAAAGATTTGAAATGGTTAGTTAAACATGTCGCCTCTTCATCCTGCCCCTCCCTTATTCCTCCAGCTTCATAACCAGTCTTCTTATTGTGTTTATATTACGTATGTTTGAGGCCTTTCTATGGAAGTATTTCGTATTTTTGTCTCCCCCTTGTAACCAATATGCTCTAGAATGTTGCTTCCATATCATCTCTTCCTGCATTAGGATCTCATTCAACTCTCTCTCAATCACCTTCCTCTGTAGAGTGACATCACCATTCTTTTTCCTCTTCTCTAGCAAAGCCAAGGCTTTTTCTGCTTTTTTTATGTCCGTGAGATCGCCAAAAGTCGTATTACTCCACTTAAGTAATTCGGTTTCACACTTGATAACCTTGTCAATGATAGAGAGCCCACTTCTCTCATTCTATCCTTCCGCAATGACCTCTTTACATTCAACATGCTTCTACCAGAATGGCTAAAAGCGATAATTCCACCCCCCCCCCCCCCCCCTTATATCATCAGCCACCAGTTATGTTTGGAGGAAAATGGGTGAGTGATTTGATCCGCACCGTCTTAGGGGGTGGACTCTAGCACGTGGAAAGATAGATTGCCAAGAGCTAGTTGCTACCATTCTGTCCAGGCGTTCTTCTAGAAAGGTGTCATCTGAATGGTTGTTATCCCACGTAAAGGTCTTGCCATAGTACCCAAGATCCTCAAAATTGCAGTATTCTAGTGCATCATTAAACATATCCATTTCTTGTACATTTGTCAGGTTCAAACCATTATTCTCTTCATAACTCTAAATGAGATTAAAGTCACCTCAAACAAGCCAGGGTACATCAGCCAGAGCTAGTTCTCCTAGCTTATATTTGTTGATTTTCCTTCATTTTGATCGACTAAGCGAGTTTGTCCCTAGCTAATTGCGCCCACCTTGCGGTGTATGAACACTTCCTTCACACTAGAGCTTTGT